CATTGGATTTGAGCTAAACACCCTATATTTTTTTGTAGGAGGATGAATTGTTCCAAGATTTCAGGAGTTGACACCAGAGAAGTTAGGTAATATATGATTATTTTCAGTTGGGGCCAATAAAACGAATTGGCTGTTATGTAATATGCTCCCACTTCTTATTAATGTTCGTACTTCATCATGTGTTTAGGCTGGTTTGGTTCGCGAGAAGTCATTTGGCACAACAAAAGAGCGTATGCTGTATATTGAGCATTGTCAAAATTCAAAAGATGTTATCGTGTTCATTCGTGGAGGTACATGCGTGGGACTGATCTTTCTCTTATCTCCCCCCCACCCCCTCTCTTATAATTAATATTGTGTTGAGTGATCTGTAATAGTAAAGCTCCATGATGATGATAAGATGGCACCATAGTAAATTGATTGAACATGGCACTGGTAAACTGATCGGTTGGGTAATTTGCTTTGTCATGTAGCAGGTAACAAGATAATGATAGAAAAAAAAAAACGCAGTATCCACGACGCTTTCTGTGTGGCACGGAATTTGATCTGCAACAATTCAACTGTATATGGTGGTAGTGCAGCTGAGGTTGCCTGCTCTCTTGTTGTTGATGCAGCTGCTGATAAATACCTTGGCGTTGAACAGGTAAGCCATATCATACTCTCTTTCTAACATATGTAACATATGCACAAGTTTATGATGTTTTTTTATATGCAGTATGCAATTAGGACGTTTACAGAAGCCTTAGACTTTGTCCCTATGGCGCTTGTAGAAAACAGTGGGTTGCAGCCCATCGAGACACTCTCAGCTGTAAAATCTCAGCAAATTTAGGTAAATTATCAATGAATTTGTCTTGTTACCACTAAATCTTGGCTTGTTACTGTGAAAGATTTGGAGTATTATTGTTTTAAAATTGGACTGTTTTGTTGTTGAATTTTATAGGAGAACATTCCGTTCTACGAGATAGATTGCAATGACGTAGGAACGAATGATATGAGGGAGCATAACGTGTTTGAAACACTGATCGGGAAGTAACAGCAGATCTTACTTGCAACACAAGTGGTTAAGATGGTACTCAAGATTGATTACGTTATCTCTCCGTCTGAATACTGATATATCACTCATATTCGAGATGTTACTCCAAACACTCTATCACTCATATTCGAGAACATACCATAAATAATTTCTTCACATTGTGGTTAAGGCACTAAATAGTAACCAATTAATTTGAGAAATTTGAAGAATATGAAGAATAAAAGATTTTGTGTTACCATTTGTTTAAACTTGAAGAATGTGATTAATTTTTACTAAAGACAAAAGTTGAGGAATTTTTACTAAAAGATTTTGTGTTACCATATGTAATAATATATATTTTTTTAAGTAATATGTTTCTTTAGAAACATTGCAAACTATATATGTGTAAAATGATATATAATATCTAAGTTTGCATGATAATTTTTTTAAAAACATTGTTACTTTAGATACATTTTTAATATTTAAAAAAAAAGAATTTACTATAAAAAATCAATTTTAGTAGCAAAATATTATAGCATAAATTATGTAGATTAATTTATTTTATCAATCTATCAATTAAATAGTTATATGTATCCAAAATTCAATTATTAACTCGAAAGAAATTACACTAGATAATATTTTAAGAAATAAAAATCAATTTATAAGGAATAGAATGAGTATTTATTTTTATTAATAATTTTATAACTATAACTTTAGTTAGATTATGCAATTCAGCAAAATTCAATTGTTAGACCTTTACAATTACTAGTTAATCAGAACTAAGAATGTGTAGAATTATTACTAAAAGACAAAAGCTCAGAAAAAAATTTCCTTCTTCGATAAGTCTCTGACACAAAAATGAAAACAATTGACATTCAAAATTTTTTCTTCAGTTACGACTAAAATTTTTAATTTGAAAAAAAAACATTCTAATTGTATTTATACAAAAGAATTGATTACTTTAAATAAATTTCTGAAAAGTATATAAAATCTTTTTATTTACAAACTGAACATAAGTATTTATTATTGAATTTACATATCATTAAATATATATGTAGTATATAATTACATGTTACTAAGTTTGTTTGATAATTCTGAAAACACGTTTTTATCCTAGAAAAAAACTGTAATATTTTAAATACCAGGATTACTAAGAAATAATTCAATTTCATTAGCAAAATATTACTCCATCCATTTCCTTATATAAGATGTTTTAGACATTTTTTTTTGTTTCATAATATAAAATGTTTCATATTTCTATGTAACGTTTATCTTTATTAAATACTGTGTTACAAATAGTGTTATGCAGTTTTTTTCTTAATTGGTTGAATCGTTTGTATTTTATATATTAAATAATGCTTTGAGCCAAAACATTCTATATTAAAAAAAACAGAGGGAA